TCAGCAGATTTTTCAATATTATGTACAACAGACAATTTTCAACATTTGAAACAAAAACTATTTTGAGCGATGAATTGCCAATCAGTTTATAATAAATGCTTGTAAAACGGTATACCATCGTTGCCACAAAGATTGAGTTATAACTTAATAGAATATATTTGTCAAAATAGTTTTCATGTATTGCACGTATTAGGGGGCAAACGCGAATAAATATTCAAACGAACAGGAATTTACGGTGAAACCGTTATAGTTAATAACTCAATGGAGATTCTCGAATTATTTTTTTCTTCAATTTCAGATAATGCGAGTTTTATATATCTCCAAAAATTTTGTATTATTCAAAATATATTCAAGCTATGTTTTTTTTAAATGAGTTTGAAATAAATATGCGTCTATTTTACAATAAACATTAAATTTTTAGTTATATATATATTCAAAATTATATATATAGTATATATTATTATCACTAAATATTCGTCAACTTCTGCAACAAAACTGTTTATTATATGTTTTAGTGATTTTAACAAATGAAATTTAAATAAGTACAATTTTCACGGAAATAAAATTCCGAACAGTAAAGAAGTAATATACACAAAGAAAGAAAAACGTATTACGTTTACGGCAAAGATTAATACATTAATAACGTTGGACGCGTTGGATTTGAGGTAACTATAAATTTTTGAAAACTAAAATAATGTTCATTCTAACAATTAGGTTTTAAAAATATGTTGTTAAGATTATTATAAAATATTTTAGTATCTAGAAATTGAAAAACTAACAAAATTTTAATTCTACAAATATTTTTAGAGTAATAGAACAAAACTTGTTTCCTACACTCGAGTCTGAATGAATACTATTCGAAATCCAAAATATTCGTGGATTCTTACAGAAAATTATTATATTAGAAATTTACCCTCTGTCTGGAACAATTTATTATGACAAAAACTTTTACGGATAGGATTTGATCGGCAATGTTTTCAATATTTTGAAAGTTTGCGACCTGAAAAACAACAGTCAAATGCAATAAAACTAAATCAATTTATTCGCGTGATAATTTATATTTTTTACATAATTCGTGATGCAAAATAATAACTCAATTCAAGTTGATCATCCTAGATTAGGATTATGTTTTGAAAAGCACTAAGTTCTATTGTTATCTCCAGAGCAATAGAGTTTTCCATATTTTTCAATTTTATCTGTTTATGAAGGTTAGCCTATATTGTATGCAAGTATTTAAGAAAATTTAAATTTATATTATATTGTTACACAATTGAAAGTGTATTTTTAGGTTTCAAATGTTTCAACACAAAATCGATTAATATGCCAATAATTGAACAAAAAATACATAGACTTGAAGAACTGAAAGAAAGTTTGGTATTATTTCTTTATTTTAATTTAGAAAAACACCTTCCTAAGCTATTCAAAATACGTCTAATTAATTTTTATTCACCGTGTTAAAAGAGTTGTTCAGCCTATTATATACCATAGAATTCATGAAAATAATCAAATTAAACAGTAGTTCAACAATTCTTGCTTAACCTTTGCAAAATTTGTATATGTAAACCGTTATTTCAAATGAGCAGTTAGTGGAATGTAAAAATTGTGGCGCTTGGATAAATAGCTTCTCTACAGCGAGGGTATAATAGCAACGTCTACCGTGCAATAGAGGGCAAGCAATCCCAAAAATGTTGCAATCTCTTATGATCAACGCGCACATTTGTTTGTGAACTTTTTTGCTTGAAATATCGGTCCCCAATACAGGCCAAATCACTCTTCAGGGAAAAAATTTAATTCTGTTTAACAACACCAACGTTACCAATGAATTTCAATGCCACGAATTTTTTATTGAGCCGGTTTTTTGGTTATATTTTCTCAGACTGCTCCAAATTGACGCTTGACTCTTAACCGGTATTTTCTGTCGACCGAATATCACCATAATTCTCGCTCTCAACATTTCAGATCTCTCTTTTAACTTTCGAATTCGCTATTATGAAAAGATGTTGGTTATCATTCATCAGTGCTATTAGTTTTGATTACGTTTAGATTTAGGTTATTCATATAATCATCGTATACCAAATATTAGTAGGTTAGGGACTGTTTATGAATCCTAAATCATCGAACTACACTGTAATTCTGACAGCGAACGAGTCGTATCAGCAACAATGCCAACTGCAAATCCCAATGCAGAAGACATGCTATCAATTCACAATAAACTTGCTGAAATTGGCGATCGAACGAGTTACAACTGGATTTTGGACTATGTAAGAGGTTATTAGAGAGTCACTAAATTCAAAGCAGTCTAACGATAGAGTTTCCGCAATTTCACTTGTTCTACTCTTCTTCCGTTCTTCCATTCAGGTAAGATAAGTATAGACATAAAAGAGAAAAGAGCAATTCAAGTCAGTCCAGTCAGCAATCCGATTTAAAAAAAATAATAATAATAAATAGTTTTTTTTGTCTATTATGACAAGCATAAAATATGGGAAACAATAAACGCTTATATGTATAGATATAGAATCAGATGATGCCTACAGAGATAATTTGTATCAAAGCGGATATTTGATATATTGCATCTACTGAAATCATAGCTAGATGAGAAAAAGGAACAATGTCAAGAGAACGAAACTCTTTATCACATTTATGGAATACTCGAAGCGATTCAGTCAAACCGTATTAAGATATTTTAAAATACTAAATTTCCTCGTTCTACAAAATATTTGAAGAATATTAGAAAATTCTAATTTCGGCAAATTGATTTTAAGTTTAGCATTTTTTTATTATCATGATTATATCTTCAATAATTGTGTGTATCAATATAATATTCAGTACCCCAATCTTTAATGCTATATTGCTTGAACGTGACGCTTTGTGCTTCAGATATAAATTGTAATTTTTTAATAAAGTAACGGGAAAAAATCATAGACTTTCTATAACTCAAGCAGAGTTTTACTTACAAACCTATTGAATTAGGAAAAGTCTAGTAAAACTAACTTCTCATCGCATACAGGCCGAGCCTAGTAAGTTACTGAATTAACTTTTTTGCGATGAAAGCAGAATAAAAGGTACTCCCGTAGTATGTGGACGAAGATGGCGGACACCGGAACGTAGTATCTGTACCAGGATAGGGTTAGGCCATAATTTTATTTCAATTTTTTTTATTTTAGTTCTATTACGAGTTTGAAGACTAGCCAAGTGACTCTCGTAGTATTTGTACCTGAAATTATGGTCTAACCCTAACCTTGTACACATACTACGTTCCGGTGTCCGCCATCTTGGTTCACATACTACGGGAGCACCGAATAAAAACCAATGTAATGTTAAGTCCATGCAAATTCGATTGTCAAACCAATAAAGTAAACGTATAAATCATGTCTTGTCTGGAATGATTTATTGAATTTATATTGACTCAATTATGACTTTACTCTTATTAGAATTCGAGTTGTCTCAATCCTTTATAAATGTATTTTTTAATCTAGTTAGTGAGTACAGGGAATAACAAAATTCAGTAATAAAAATACAAATAACACCATTAAATAAAGTCTCTGGTATTAATATGGTCCAAATCAGGTTTCTTTATTAAGTAATATGCGTTAAACGAAAGTGCACAGTTGATTTGTCTAAATTCCATAAAACTTAGCAATTTTTTTCTAAATAACATCTACAGGCGGAATAAATCAAACGGTATCGTATTCTAATAATATTGGTTAGAGCAGGATGGTTCAAACCCAGGCCCGCGGGCCACATGTGGCCCGCCGCTTCATTATCTATGGCCCGCGTCGCATTTGCGCTAGGGTAAACAAAAAATTGTCTTTGCTGTTGTTTAGTCATATAAATAACCAGAAAAATCTTTTGACATATTGTCACATCACTAATGAATGTCACTGAATTGACTAGTGTTAAGGCTAGCTGAGGCAACTAGCGAAGTTGAATGATGTTTTTGGCTAGTCTAAATTGTTAACTGGTTTTCTATTTTCTGGTCGGGAATATATGCTAACAAAATAGGCTTAAACAGGAAACTGAAAATTGAATGAGGAATATATTAATTAGCCTAGGTTGGCTATGGCTGATAACTAAATATTAATGCAAGGGCCAAATATAATTCCTGTATAAAACGACATTTTCTCCGTTATGAAGAGTTTGAAACCTTACAACAAAATTAGATATGGTAAGATTTTTGCACGTTTCAATGAGTTTTTTGGTGGTTTTTGCATGTTTTAGCTTGATAAATGACAAATAATGATTTTTTTGGACAATAAAAGTGTTTGTTTTGTATTGCAATGTATGCCTATTCTTGGCACTATTGTGGCCCGCGAACAATACAAAAATAATGGTGTGGCCCGCGAGGTCGTCAACCTTGTACCACCCTAGGTTAGAGTATCCGATTCGACGATTTGAACAATTTATAGGGATAATATTTTGAAATCACGCCATTTATAAAATAAGTACAATATCAATAAGTCACTCAATTACAAATACAATCTATATCATTATAACATATATCCACCACATTTAGAACAAGACATCGTGATGAGAAGAAAAGGCTGATTTTCCGTCTGTATAAAATCAGTAGTAGTCTACATTGCATGATGCAAACTATGCGCATGACTTGAAAGCGAATAAACGACGATGAGTTTTTGATTATGTAAATTGAAAAAACGGCCAATTTGCTAATTCCACTGAACAGATTAACAATTTTAGTTAACAATTCTCCCTTTTCTCCGCACATTGAAATACTACGTCTTTTCATAGCTAAACAACTATTTCATTAGCAGGACGAATAAGTAAAATATTAGTAGGAGCAAAGGTGGCACTTTTGAGGTAAGGTCACATTATCTACAAATTACCTCTCGCATAAAACAATACTGCAATCCCTAATGTTTTGTGTTTTCTGTTACTGAATCCGAGTGAATATTCGTCACTTAGCGTGTATACTAATTTATCCGGCATTGATATTTAAATTGACAGTTGAGCATTCCAAAACAACAAACTAATTTACCAACCTTGTTGCCACTGAGCTTTCCATTCGTAATGATGCGATTTTGTACTTTTCATCCACGGAAACTTCAAAGATTTTTCACTTTTGGTAGATTGGTTTTTATTATCAATACCATCCTGAGAAAATACCTGTCCAGTTTTAGAATAACTAACATCACTTGTAGTTGAATGCTCCGAATCAAAGTCTACAGAGTGATGTGGGAGGGATTTTAGACTTGACGGATGACCGTCAGAAGAACCGACGTAATAACACTTATCTAGAGGGGTTGAGTTTGATCCAATTTTTACAACGTTGGAACTCCATGATTGTGGAGTTTCGTGGTTTATAGAACCAAGCACTTTGGGTGAATTTTGATGAGTTTGCGGTAATCGGGTTTCCCTTTCCCCGCCATTTGACCTGATTCCAAGCTGACAATGTGTCGCGGTAAAGTCTAATGGATAGTCAATATTATATCCGCCATTTTTAGTGCTAGGATAGTGGTAAGACTTATCGAAACCAGTGAGGTCAAAATTTGTCCAGCTTTGGGGAATTTCACCATGTAGACCATTTTTGTAAGACGATGGAAAACCTCCTTCCGGCAAAGATATTATGGGCCCGGCATCTTGATTTCTGTCATCTGTCCATGATTTGATGTGATGGTCAGACTTGTAGCCAACATACTGATATCGTTCAGTTGAACTAGGCTTGTGATGAATATATTTAGTGTGAACTCTTTCACACATCTTTGGGTTGTTGGCTCCCACTGGACTCAAAAATAATCTAACAGTAATAAAGCCGATATATATTACAATACCTTTAAAAACAAATGGATAGTCGGAAACAGCGGCATTAAGCAATTCCAGAAAACACAAGTAGTAAATTTGATTTTTCATTCTGAATATTTTTCAAACTATATCGCTAGCCGCCATGAAGCATTCTTGCATTCAAGCTTAAATATTATCATTTGGATATAAGTTGTGAACAAAATATTGCCACATGCTGCTGTTAACTGATTTCTATACTTTATCTTTGTTGAATATTTTCAAAGCATACTCTCAAACAGACAAATGTATATACTAATAAGATTTTTGAAATATAACTATCAAACGCATTCTAGCTGGCAGGAATTGAACCATTTTTGTATACTTTCTATAATTCAATCTAATACTAAGCACATCAGTCTCAGCTCAAGAAATTTACTATCTCAGCCAAAAGAAATAACTCAACCAATGACATATTTGGACTGACGATTCAAAAAGGCATTTTCTAATTCACCTCAGTCTAAAAGTAGGCCTATTCACAAGCTCAACCTTGATACGAAGATCAGTTTACGCAAATCAGTTCTTGTCCAAAGATAACTATCTGTTTTGAAATTCATAACCCAATCGTAATATTTATTACTCTATGACTCGGTAAATCCAATGTAAACCAACTTGTTTATCTGGCAACACCTTTCCACATGTAAAACATCTTTAATATCCAAAATCCATAAATCAAAGAGACAGTCGTAATGTTCTAATATTATAGCCTATAATAAATGGCATTACAATATGATGAATTTTATTCCTCTGCTTATGCAATATACGTGTATAGAACGAGAGTTGACCCTGACGATGTTTCTTCGAGCGTGAAACAAGATTGCGAGTTGGTGTCATCGCCATTTTGTTTGTTTACCCACTCACTAACCATTCGTCTGTAAATTTAAATTGACTATGTTTGAAATGAAGTCAGTTAAAACAGCAATAAAATAAATGGATTTTCAAATGACTTGATATTTTATCTTGATTATTCGATGAGAATTGAATCAATTCGAATAAGTAATTTAATTCTGAACTTCCGATGTGTGTTAAATAGCCGATGTGTGCTGGGTTCAGGAGAAGGATGGGTACATAGCCCCGTGAGTCAATTGAATGGCCTCTTCCAGTTTGCTTTTTATTTTTGCAAACAAAACATTGAGTTGTTATTTTTGTATATGGGCAGGGTTTTCCCCCCTAATCAAGTGCTATGTTATTTAGAGGCGTTTTTTTTATCGTTGTACATGTCGATACCGTTTGATTGTCTGCTCCCCAACGCCACTTGGCGAGTACTAGGTTGTTAAAAATAAATCACCGATATTTCTATCAAATAGTGATGAGATTGAATTAACCATTATGAATATTTTTGAAAATAAATTAGTTTAGTTGCTGATATCTACCTTGCAGTTTTGTTACCAGGATCATATTGACACAAGGTATCAAATTCCGTATAAGCGCCTTGTTCTCTTGTTTTTTTCATTGTTGAATCTCCGCTCGAGGAGACCCTTATTTTCAGTCATTTTGTGTATATGTCTGTCCTGAAGCGTCTGAACGGCTAAACCAGAGGTGACGATCCTGCGGCCCGCTACGGAATTTCGTGCGGCCCGCGAAGCATTCAATGGATTCGGTGTATGTTTGGCTGGAAGTAATAAACCTTTGGGGTGACTGTACAGAGAAAACGAGAGCGCCGGTATTACTTATGTTACTGGCGCACAATACACGGGACATCTGAAAGTAATAAAAAGCTTAGAATTTCAACTCAATGATTGAGATAATGGAAGATCTTGAAAACATGCCTATGTTTAAAAATCGGATAATTGTCAAAGGATTGATTCGTTTATAATTTCTGTATCCCAAGGCTTGCAAAATACGGATCTTTTTTACAAAGCTCTCGCCACTAATACGATATTTGCAAAAACAACACGTTCTGAAATAATGAATTAGTAATTATCTAGTTGCGGTTTAGGTTCGGGTTAGAAAAGATATGAGAATTTGAATTTTCGGCGCAATCTGCATTCCTAGCCCTCACCCTAAAACTGTAACTGGATTATTTCTATTTTTATTTTGAGCGGAGACGGTGATGTTTTTTTCTGGAGGAGGCATTGCACAAAGAATCTTGAAATAGTTATCTGAAGCAGAATTTCGCATATTAGCCAAACTGACCGATTATATTTATTTTGAATTCGTATTTTTGCAATGTTACGAATTATACAAAATTGACGTGTTCTTCAACACTGACTCCGCTTTATCACAATGCTACCACCCAAGATCATTTTCAAGATATCGACGTTAGAAAAATCTTTAGATCTGCGATAAAATATCAAGGACCACGATTTTGTAGTACAATTTAAATTGAGTGTACAGTGATATCTCGGTAGTCGACAAAATTATTCGAGTCAAAAATGCTGCGGTATTCGAACGGGAATTTGGATCTCGAACACCCGAGCCGAGCGGAGCTCGCGGCCGAGTAAAATGACGGCATTCGAAACCAAACTCAACCGATACAGGTCAACAAGACTGACAGACAAAAATCTTGGTATGCAGTTGAGGGATTCCAAGTCTCCAGTAAGGCCTAATATGAAGCACCTCGTAAAGCAAAAAAGTTTCCAAAAATCTCACTAAGGAAAAAATGCATTGAATGTTCTATTTCTATTTTATGCTGCAATATACCATTAAATAACATCAGCTGTATGGATGCAGTTGTTCGATTTTGTCAATGATAATTAATAGGTATCATAGTATGTCTAAAAAGCTCTGCGAGCCCGCTCACTCACGGGTGACTTATAATATGAGTAAATAAAGCTTTGAAAAGCAAGAAAATGAATGATTGCCAAGATTGTGCTAAACAGCATTTTCACGGTGAATATTCTCAATTCCAGAGTTCCCAAAGTTGCACGGGTATTAGTATAGCTACGTAGTCATTTGTTTGTCTATTGCTATTGTTTGTCTATTACATCATCTTATTGGGTTTGTTCGGTTTTAGATGTATTGGGTTTTTCTTTATTCTCCTAATCTGTAGTCTCCTAGCAACAAGCAACAATTAGCTTATAATGTAATACTAAAAGCGTACATATTTTAATAGATTGGGCGAGCATTTGAAAAACCTGCGGGTATTTCATTGATGGATCTGAGTTGTCAACTGAACACTAAAACGTATAATCTGAAATTATGTATGTAGCAACAAAAACACGTACATCAAACCGTATTAAAGTTTGACAGAAACTACTGATTGCGACGATGTATATAAAGTTCCGCCATCAAAGTTTTAATAAACCATGCAAAAAAACGATGGAATGACGCTCTTTATTAATTTTTTTTTATTTTTGAGGGGGAGGGTCTATTATTTTTCCCATATCTAGAATAATCCCCCTGTAACAATACTAAGAATATTTCAGTTTTAGCTCTGTTCCAATTTTGAATACATTTATTTACAAGAAAAACAGATAAACCCCGATACTGCATTAAATAACGCTCTTAGGGAAACCTGATTGTGACTATTCTGTTTGATTGTCACTCAGATATCAAGTCCTCTACCAAATTCCGAGTTTTGCAGATTTCATAGAGGATAGCCCAGGATACGACGATGCCGGCTAAACCATGCTTTTTAGTAGTCTAATAGATGATTAGCACGCGAAGTATTTACGTTCACGTTTACATAAGTGAGAGTATATATCTTACATACAATGTTGATGATCTGGATAGTGGGACGCTATTTACATTTCGTTAATTTCATTAGTTCATGAAGCGTGCTTCTTCTGGACAAAGAGATAGATGAAATGTTGTAGATATCTCAAGTTCAGTCAACTTGTTGTAAAAAGCAACAACATTATTCACAGACGGAGTTGAATTTGGAAAGTTCCTAAGTCCATATATTCCATTTTCCTGCGTATTTCATAAAAAAAGGAATAGCAATAGATTAAGTTGTCGATATTTTAATTATTTTCAGCGCATTTTCTTCTGTTCCCGGTTTCTGCTGGTTTTGTTATTTGCATCATATATGATAAAGATTACTTTTTCCACTGGTTTGTTCAGCACTCCGAAATAACATAGAAACATTTCTTTTTCATAGTAACACAAAATATGTATTGAGCTCATTTATAGCTAATGCGTTCTTTAGTATATATATATATGTTTTATTGTACTGTACTGTATTGTTGAAGTAACCGGTATTGCCTAATAGTTAGGGTTAGGGTGCATAACAAGCTTTGGAGAAGTATTTCTTACCAGAACTAAGGCATCCAATGAATGCGAAATAGTTAATGTAATCAGTTGAAATAACCGTATTTTTCCTCAAAATTTCATTTTCATCTAAAAAACAATTTTTTTGCTATTGCTTATAAAACATCATAAATTGGTCACATTTATAATAAAAAAGATTATATCACATATATTAAAAAAAATTAACAATGAGATCGAGGGATATTTTGATAAGCTCAGCTTCAAACACTTACCCATATCATTCACTGCCTTCGTGTAATCGTTGTGAAATTCCAGCTTGTGGGATGCTAATAATGAATCCTCTACAGAATGATAAATACAGAAAAATGCAATTAAACGAATCCGAATAGTTATCTATATATATATATATATACAACATATGACATGATGTTTTAAATCTCACCGTCTTGTTTTCTGTCAACGCTGTAAAGTCCGGGACCTTGGCGAATAAAATGTACTCCGTATTTGACGACCGTTGTTCTTATAAGAACGAAAAGAAACAAAATAAAATAGTTGTTTAAATATGAAAATTAAGAAAAGAAAATAATGAAATTGAACTAAAAAATTGATTCAAAATTGATAACATTTTTTTATTGTTCTCAAAGCCAGTTGTATTGCATATAAGAATATTCACCTTGTGTGAGAAGGTGACGAATCACGAGTCTTTTATATTGATATTAGGGCAGGCAGTCCTGTTCGAAATGACCCAATTATAATACATTTTCAATATAACAGAATGTAGATAGAAATCATACCCTTCACCATGTTCTTCCGATATCAAACTCAATCCACCCATTGTCTTCGTAAAATTATTGAGTTTTACACAATTTACCTCGGACGCCATGATGTCATTTGTTTGTAACCCGACGTACCATGTTGTACCTAACAGCTGCAATATCCCGAATGTTAATTATTGAAGTTCAAATCAGTTTATTTAACAACTACTATTGTTGGTAACGTGATTTTTATAACGTTCTTTTATTTTGTTTTACAATTCTTATTTTAAATTGATCTTGATATGTTTAATTGCTATACATTTCAAACATGACCCACAATGCTTTCCACAGAGCCTGATTGCTAATTAATTCATTTTTGGCTTTGCATTCGACTAAATTAATAAAAAATGCAGTATAAATAATTTTTTACCTTGTTTAAATCAAGCTCGGATTCCATTTCTGGAAGAAAGCATCGACTTGACGATGATGAGACAGAATGAATTATTATCATGAATAAATAATTAAAATGTCTCAATAACATCACGGCGTTTCGATAATTTGAAGTTTGCAAGATTGTATAGGAAAATTCTTTTATTTTAGTGGTTTAAAATTCCGCTAAATCCTATTTTTGTAGATAAAATAAATAGTTTCGCGGTTATCAACAGATTATTTCAAATACTCAATCATTACATTGTGTTAGATATAAAGACAATGAAATTTTTACCAGTACGACCTCCTGCCCGACTCAATTTCCCTACCGCACTTTTTAACCTTTGTAAATTGTCTCAGACAATCGTATATTTCACAATGCATCAGACTACAATAAAGTACAATACGCATAATCCAGTCTTTTTAAAATAAAACAATTTAAGGCAGAATTTAAAATTTGTTCTCATCGTATTGATTGCTCTTCAGAGGAAATGCGTACAACAATTTTGGCTTTACAATGTTTTGACAGACACTCAAAAGCTGCTAGAAGCATATTGCCCGCTGTATTTATGGCATATCAAGAGTAAACAATTCAAATCTGAGATTTGGGTAAAAATGCGGGTAAAGGGATAAAGTTTTTTGAGCTATGCTGAAACAACTAAGTGAGCGAGATTGAATGCTTAGTTCTCCGCGCCACTCTCCCGGAACAGATTTTGTCGGTGATCTCAGCATTGTTGGATAAAAACCTGTAGGGAGGATATTTCCAGCTGAATATTAGATTAGGTTTTATCGAAGACAACATTAATATTTTTTATGAAACTTCACATATGTTAGTGCTTGTCGCAAATATTTCTAATTCTGTACACCATTAGTTTACCTACCTATAGGGTTGTTTAAATAAGTTATCTGGCTCGTGAATGTAACAATAAATACCGTGTTCATGATATATTATCCAGGCTCTCATATGTGAATCTTCCCCTCACAACCTACTATTCAATCTACGACTATAAGTATAACTATATCTGACAGTTTTGAATCTTTACAATCATTTCCTTTATTATTACGTTGAATTGAGTTTATATCCGCTGTTTATTGATTAAGTATATTCATTGGCTCGTGTCCTTAACGGAAAGATTGTAGTCAAAATAGCATGTCATTCCTTCTTGTGGATCCGCCGCTACCATTGCTATTGATGCAAAGGCACGTTTATGACGTTGCATGTCAGTCAGCATAAATTTGCGAAATTGTCGTTATCACTATAAGTCACCAATTAGCCGCGTCATTCAGTATCTATAAATCTTTACATTTCTCTTTATTTAGAATCGGTTTTCTGCTCTGCAATTCCAATGTGCCTGAGCCATTTAACAGTCTATCACTATGCTGGCAATTCTGACAATACTGATAAAAGGGTAGATCGCATGATATATTCAGATTAATTCCAAATATTTCATTCGTAAAAATCCAATTTTTTTAGAAATAGAAAATAAAACAGAAGGATTGTGATGTCATTCATACACACCAATGCATAGTTCTAGTTCAAAAACCTACCAAAATAGAAAAAAAAGATGGCGCACAAAACAACGTTTTTCGGGCATTCAGCATGAGAAAACAAAAAAATGTCATCTTTGTTCCAACAAGGTTTTCAACTAATTTATGTGATCTATAGCAGTGGTTCTCAAACGCCGGTTCGCGGCAACCTTGCTGCCGGTCCGCCAAATATATTCCAATATTATTGTATTATAAGCAAATTGTAAAATACAAAGTATTGACGACATGTTCATTACTTTTGGTATTTTTATATCCTATTGATTCGTAGCACCGGTATTCGTCTAACAACCAAACTTAGTGAGAGGTCCTATGCCCATTTAAACCCTGAACAACTGGAAGTTCGCATTTATGACCTCATAACGACGACTAACGTCATAACGCTGGAGTTTTCGCCTTGCAGAAACTTCATTAGGACCGCGTTTAACACGTATAATATCAAAACAAGAGCAGCAAATATAAAGAATATCTTCTTTTGCACCACCTAATTGCATTACTCAGATTTGCATTATATTTTGTGTTCATGATATTTTTGAAGATCCACCGGTCCGCAAAATTTTTTTTGAAATTTTACCGGTCCGCGAACTGAAAAAGGTTGAGAACCACTGATCTATAGCTTTCAAACGCTGAACAACGATCCCATAGTGTCGCTAACTATATTGAAGTAGGCTACTCTATGTTACATTGAGCAGTATTTTTATTGCTTTTGATCCTGATTGGCAGACCTCTGTTTCTTCCCGAAATTATCTTGATTCATTTTCTATTACAATTTTTGAAATTAGCGTAAATTTTTCTTTGTGTTGGTTGTTAGATGTAACCCAAAATATTGAGCAAATCTACTTCAAATTCTTAAATTGTGCAAAAACTTGATGGGAAATTCACATCATAAAGGGTATCAAGACGCCGAATTATAAAATTGAATAAAGTCGAACCAGCTCCAATATTGTGCACGATGTAAGATGCCAGGTTTTTAACGTTTAGGACTTTATAAAATATTCAATAAAATGAACCATCAAACTGTTTTATTCTCAATTTATTTCTAATGAACGGACAGCAGCCTTGCATTATACGCATTCGGATCCACTTGCGCAAAGGCATAGAGCAAGGAAAGGTAGTCTTGCGTAATTCCAACTCATGAATAGTACTGTTTGTTTTTGAATGCCAAGATATTTTGTGTTATCCACCAAACAAAAGAATACTATGTTTACTATCTGACGTGTACAGAAAAGTAAACACTTGTAATCCTGCAAATAGGGTCATAATCGGCGTTTACACATTTTTATACAACAGCACTCACACAGAATATTTTTTTTGCAAGTCAACATGTGTAAATTGTTACTTATCGATTTTAATCGGTAAGTATGTTGATAGGTATTTGTCTGTCTGTTAGATGCACGCGATATATCACGAAAGCAAGATCAGATCTGCTGCAGATTTTGCATATGCATTCATCATATCTCGTACCAGAAGCCTATTGATTTTGGGCGAATTATGTCGTATAATTAGCGAGTTATCAATTAATTAGTGATGGGACACTCTGTCACTATGGAGTAAAGCGCTGTTTTGGGGGATCCCCTAATTTCGATCGATAAGTCTTTGGTCTCTGACCAATACTCTAGTTTTGACAATTGGCGCTTATAAACAGAGCCGCCCTCGGAGCTGATTTGTGTAAAATCAATAATTCATTTATAAAGTGTTATTAAACCGCACGAACTATTGAAATAAAGTTATACATATCAGATGTTATTAACTCAGCAAACGTTTGTATATTCACTGTGCCTTTTAAACTTTCTTAGATTGTTGATAAAAATGAGTATGAATCTGCTTTTTCAAAATGTCTTTGTTATACTTTTATTCACATCTCTGGTGGGTGCAAGTATTCCTATCGTCGTCAGCACTTGGCCTTGGCCCCAAGTAGCTGATACCGCTTGGCAGGAATTGTCAGATTCTCCTTCACAATCCGCCGCTCTTGATGCAGTACAAGCAGGATGTACGCGATGTGAAGTCGATCAATGTGATGGCTCTGTAGGATATGGCGGTTCACGCGACGAAAGCGGAAAAACTACACTGGATGCTATGATTATGGACGGTACCACTATGAACGTCGGTGCTGTGGGTTCACTGAGAAGAATTAAAAATGCAATCGGAGTTGCGAGAGCTGTTTTCGACCACACTAGTCACACATTATTGGTAGGAGATCAGGCTACTAGTTTTGCAGTCAAGAATAGATTGCTAGAGGAGTCACTTTCGACCAATTCGTCAGTTGAAGCATGGAATAAGTGGAAAACTGGTAACTGTCAACCAAATTATCGCAACAACACTACACCTGACTCAAAAAAGTTTTGTGGACCTTATGTTCCAACCGTAAAAATGCAGAACACGCGTAACCAATTTGTATCTGATAAATATAATATTTTAGGTAATCACGATACCATTGGAATATTGGTCATAGATAAGATCGGAAAGATAGCTTCAGGAACATCAACAAATGGCAAACATTTCAAAGTCCCGGGAAGAGTTGGTGATTCGCCTATTCCAGGTGCAGGATCATATGCTGACGACACTGCAGGAGGTGCTGCCGCAACCGGTGATGGAGACATCATGATGCGACTCCTGCCTTCATACCAACTTGTAGAAAACATGAGACAAGGAATATGAAACCGTCAGATGCCGCTAAAGACGCGATCGATCGTATATTAAAGAGATACCCTACCTTCAGTGGGGCTTTAATTGGTGTTAACATGCGCGGTGATTACGGAGCTGCGTGTACCGGGTTCAACGAATTTGAGTATTGCGTGAGGACAGAGAGCAAACCACAAACCACCACAAAAAAAAAAAACCACAATTTTTTCTGTCGATTGTACAAATGATTCAAGCATGACGTCAATAAATTTTATGTTGATTACAATCTCCTTCCTAATACTAAGTATAAATAGGGGGTATTGAAATTATGAACGATAACTTAACATTATAAAAACGCATGAATTAAATATAAAAAAAAGTTAGATCAAAGAAATGAAGTCTCAGTTCATGCTCAACTAATTCATGCTTGCAAGCAATTTTGACTCAATGACACCAGTCATGTTCTGCACTAGAAAAATGAAATTTCAGCTTCATTTGATCCTACATATATATATATTAATGCGCGCCATTGTATAAATTTGTTTTATAAACTGACTGTACATATTATAATGTTTCATGCTTATGGCGGTTGGTTCTGCAAACAGCCTATATGCGTCTGTGGCAATAAAAGTGGGTAGTGGCTGTGGGTAGCCTGTGGATGCTGTAAAACAATGGTGGCCAATCTGTGGATGTTAACCAATGATTAAACCTTATTTTACTGAAATCTCAAAATCAACGCGAATTGCTTTTGTATTTGTGGAGCAATGCGAACCTGACCGATTCTTGTCGTTCTCCTATACGACCTATAGTAACCTCTCAAATACATAGTGGGTTCACATGGCGTGGTCTGGAGAAAATGCATGTAGAAAAGTCGTAGAAAGAATTAAACTCTTCAAACAAAGTAAAAAGCGTATGAATATTTTTCACGTTTTTCATTAGCACTATTGAGAACAATACAAAAAAATAATTTCAAGCGCTTCAAATTTGATGGCATTTTTCGTACAGCGCATGCGATTCCTTTTATTTGATGACATAACTGATCCGTTATGTTCAAAATACTAAAAAAAAACTAATTAGTTTGTGAACTAATTCTAACATGTCCAATCAGTTAAGTGCTAAAATATTAAACCGCCGATGTTGGAATTCTGCTATTATATTGAGTTCGAAATAACCGTTTATCCGATTCCCAAATGGTACGAATTTCAGTTTGTATTTTTTTACTTTTTATACAAAATGCAAAATGAAATATTCTCAATAAATTTTGTTTATTTATGAATCTATACAAGGGACACTTGTTTTTTTAAACTTTTTTTTAATTCGTTCCGAAATAATTCAACGAGGAAACACAAGTTTCTGCACATAATACTGATCTAATGTTTTATTCTCAGTTAAAATAAATATTTCATTTAGACAATCTATTTTTACAAGTCCCAATTTGCAATTTACAATTATGATTGTTGATTAAAAATAACTATGTTATGAGTTGCAATATCTTAAAAATAGTATTATGAAAATGAAACCGAATGAGCACTGCGGAGGCACGGTGTAGAAGTGGTTATTATCAATGGCAACATGAATGATTGTAATGTAAACGCTACAGCGATTGAAATAATAAAAGCAAGCTGTAAGTTCGCCCCAGGCGGTTGCACCGTGCCGTTGCCCGCAATAAATTTACGATTTTAATATCATCGAGTACAGCAGCACGTTGTATACTATATGCTTTGGATTGACACTAAACATGGAATTCTGCACACAAGTTTGTCATTTTTTTTTTTTGCAGACTACGTATATAGTTTTTATATGTGTTTTAGTGTGCGTACTTTTGACAGAGATAAACGATAATGTAAAACTTAAATGAGATTAAAATTATGAGATTCGAAGGAAAGTCATATCTGAGTCGTCGTTGACATGGTGAGCGGTCGATTAGCTGTTGCTATTCGTCAATTGCTACTGATTACATTACTGTTCGGATGTGTGGCATTGATGATATCATCCCAGCAGAGTGCAGTATACGATCAAGTAAGAAAACTATATACTATTAAATAAGTTAAATTTTTCGTATGTTGATTCAAAAATTGGACGGCATTAAATTTATGATATTGGAATATGCTCTAACTCTGGTCCTATGTAACTACATACGCTAAATAACACTTAAGATCAACTATCTTCAGAGCAATTCGCCTGAATGGTGTTTCATCTCTGTGCAGACAGGCGTCTTTCACGTGTTCTCCTCCACATGACAATGCCTGCGTTTCTAGTTTGGAGTGAAAGTGTGAAAACACCATATAAAACGCACCTTGATCACATTTATGATTTGTGGCTGGAATTGTACCCTTTCGGCATTTTATATAAAAATTAGCTAACGTTGATTTTTAATATACATATTTGATTGTATTATACAAAACAAATAGGCTGCAGAAGCATTAAAACGTCTTCGGGACTTACAAATTGCCAATAGAAGTCTTCATCAAACGGCAAAAGACTTGTTATCCAACTCAAATCAGACTAAAGAACTATTGGATAAATATTTGAAGCAGATGAACATTATTGAGCAATTCACCAAAAAAAGAAGTATAATTCTACGTGGTTTGAAAGAAGAAAATGATGAAAATTTGGAGAAGGCTATTCTGGCATTGATTCTAGAAAAATTCAAGATCGATCTAACCTCAGATGACCTTGAATCTGTCGAAAGAATACCAGGAAAAACTCCGAGGTATATGGCATTCGATTTTTCTATTAATCAGTATTAAGACATGTCGTAAAAGCAATACGAGATGCCTACAAATCTACGCGAGTTTCTATAACACTTTGCCAAACTAGTTTACTCTTTCCCCTTTCTAATATTTGTATTTCCAAGAAAACAGATATTTTCTTTCCCTCTGGTTATGGCAGTAATCTGCATAATAAAACGGATCATGAATAAATTATTCCATCAAATTATTTTCAATTTGAAGCAATATACATTAATATATGCATAATTGATATTACGAACAGTATTTCCTAATTCATAAAAATTATTGAAACGCAGAAGAAAGTCCTCATTTCTACATTTACCTATTTGGACTCAGAAGCATCAAAATTACATTGATATTTTTCATTGCGTTTGTCTAAATAAGTTTCAACAGTTGGGTTCCATACCAACATCATTTCATTGTATTTATGTATTAACAAAATAAAAATGGATGTTTCCCCGTCCCTTGGACTCAGGAAGAGTCTTTCCATACTTCGCCACTGCAAAAGTACCTTTTTGAGTTGACGCTTACGAATGTTTATTACCATTACTTTGATTCAATTTATTCTCCTGCAATTTAAAAGTACTGATATCTATTTATTTTTTCCGGGATTAATTTTTGATCACTGCAACTAGGAATCTTATTTCCGAAACACAACTAAACTGGAAATTTGCTAGCAAACTTACGAAAACGAGCACGTGTTTACAAAATATTTATAATCACACTTGAAATATGGTTCAAGTGAAATTGTGTCTAGGCTAGGTGACTGCTAATATTGCCATTGCTTCGCCACAGTTTTCGTCTTGCTGGTTGGCAATTGAAATCGATGTTCCATAAACACCCAGCAAAAATGTAAAATATATAAACAGCAAAAATCTTTATTTCAGAGCAATAAAAATAACATTCGTCCGATTCAAAGATAAGACGAAGATATTTTACAAGCGGAAAAATCTTCCGAAATATTTATCTCTCGATGATGACATTACGACGTCACAAAAAGAAAACAGAAAAAAGATGGATTCCTCTGCTGAAAATGTTTTTAAAATGGGGAAGATTGTGAAACAGAGCGGATGAAAATTGTCAGTTAATGGAAAGGATATCAAATCCAAAACTCAGTGATGTAATAAATTGCCCATCTGTTCGAAATGTTTTTGTGGAACCAAAATTTAACCTATATTTCAAAATAATACTCTGTATCTTTGCCAATTATTTTTTAAAATATTATATCACATGGTAAACGAATATCAAATTGATACTAATAGTAATTACAACCGTTAAGTCAACATATAGATTTTATCAAAAGATCATAACATCTAATAAAGTTGAGCAAAAATTTAAATGTCTTTTCATCTACATTGAACATTGAAAAAAATTATACGCGGTTCATTGGTTAATTAAATACCCAATATCAGAGATACTTTATATTTACCCATAAATTTATCATGCCTTTTGATTTCTAATGTCATCAACTTCTACCCCATCAGGTAGAATAATTATTACTCCGGGTTTGAGTTTACCTCGTTTATTAGTCGGTGTAACATGAGGAGTTAATGATTTTACTTGGTTTCGATTCTTTTGTAAATTGTTACTCTTTGCTATGGATTCCTTTAATTCAGGTAATTTTACCAACATAGGATTCAGGTTGCAATAATTCTTATTCCAACAACATTTCTGACAAAGACGGGGTTCACATCCAGGTTGAGTGCATGCTGGTCTCCTGTCAAAATATTATTGTAGTTTTCAAGTTGAGGTTACTTTGAGTTACATCGATCTTTCTGCAGCAACATATGTGTCACATTCTGAGTGGACTAATGAATATAAATATTTTATTTTGTATACAACGGTGTCCAAATAATCATTTGGTATTCTGAAGTTTGTATGTATGCATTGGGGAAGAACTAGTATTGTTACAGGCCTTGTTAAATAATATATACTTGACGCTTTATCTGGAACAGTTTGTTGAAGATAACTTCTTTAACATATCTTTATTAACGTGAAGACATCGCAACCATTGCTTTTTCTCCGCATGCCTGATTCTTATTAGTAGGAAGAAAACATTGCTATAACACTAATCCTTTTATATATTTGTCACTTGTAAGTACATATTAGAACAATTTTCGTGGTACTGACGGTATAATTTAGGTTCCAAAAGAGTTTACGTGATGCGGAATTTTTTAGTTGATGCTGTTGCTCTTGTTGTCAAGGCGACTTTTTGTCAGGAAACAAAATCGCAACTATTTCATACGCAAGTAATTGACCAAACGATCTTGTTTTTTTACTCAAAAGTTTCGCCAAACAGCTATAACTTTAAATTCATTCAAATTACCTTAAAATTTTAATTATTGACCGCCGATTGGATGTATAAACTTGGTACCCAGCTATTCTAGCTACCGGTACCGATGTGCAGGTGGCAAGTCATGTCTGTCAGCCTGAGTTGTTAAAGTTTTTATAATTCAAGAAGACCAACGCGATAAAAAGCATATTGGGAAACATAAACGAAATACAGTAACACATAAATGATGACTCATTATCGTCCAATCAATTAATTCAGTATTTTCCTAATCCGGAATGGGAAATTTAATTTCCTTTTGACTAAAATGCGCCTTAATTCATTTGTGTCAATTTCTGCAGCAACACAAATATTAGGTACTTAATAATTGCCGTACTGAACAAATACTACCGTAAGAACCAAATAAATGTCACCACAATAATGCTTGCTTTTCCGCCTCCAAATTTACCCTGCCATTCATGTGTATAAAAATAAACAAAATATTTGTCTGTAAAACAAGATGGTTTGGAATTAGAAATACGGTGTTGAATACAATGTATTTTCATCCCAAGCTAGGCTTTCTAAAATAGTTACGTAGCCTATATGTATCATTGTCTGCGTTGATCTTTTGTAATTTTGATCTCAATTTGATTTACACTTTCATCATTTCAGAAATATGTAATTAATTAAATTCAGTCTTACATTGCGCTGTATGTTGCAATGAATTACTTAATCATAATATTTATTATTTTAAATATTTATATATGAAAGGCACTGACGCTGCCAAAGCATCAAAATAATGCATTAAAATTTGATGAAAACCCATTATAGATCATAAACACAGACATTTTCGAGTGAGTGTTATGTATATGTATCTTTGTAAATATTCAAGAATAGAATATTACTTATGTATATACTGTAATTGGAAAGTATTTTAAAGGGGAAACAACAGTGGATTTTTCGCGTTGAACTTTTCATGTGCATTTGACTAGCTTCGATAAGAGCACGAAAACAATGTTCTGATTTAATTTGTCCAACGTATTCGAAACCTTAGATTAAAAAAATGCTCTTAATGAACATCGATATACCTTGAGCATTGGAGTTGATTTTTGAATTCCATTTCTTTACATGATTTCCATTGTTTACATCCAAATCGTCTGAAGTGAAGACTATTCTCTGATCTGATCTCTTGGTAGCAAACCTGTGATTGAAAAAAGTAGTTAAATAGCGACACATGAAATACAAATGTAAGAGGATTATCAATAAAAAGGATATGCAGCATTTGGGAATTTTTCTCCGTCAAGCTTTCCTCATTCGACACTTTTCATATCACATATTATAAATAAAAAAATACTGCGTAATATTGCCTCGTAAAACTCAGAAATTTATTCAAGTGGTCTACATTGACCCAAGATCACAGTACAATTACTATTTTTAGATTGGTGGCATTGAATTTTTACCCCACAGAAATCAAATAATTGCACGACGGAAGAATATAAATAACCTAGTTTTATATAACTCAATTTGACTTATCCAAACAGATGATGTTTGATTCGTTGGTAGTTCTGCTAGTATATATTTATGCTACAGGCTACTTTACATTTTTGAATACAGATGAACATTGGATATGCTTTACACATTTCATTATGACTTCACGAAATTGAAACTTTAGCTATGCTTTACCTCTCCGTCTTCACATAGCATTCTTTTTCCTCGAATAGAACAAAATGGATCCGTTGATCTTGGCTCGCAGACATAACAAGACATTAACTCGTCCGGTGGCAACCTTTCCTCCGGTAGTTCACAGGATACTGTGGCATATCTCAGGAATTCAAATAATATTATAAATACGAAAACTAGTGCTTTCATTTTAATAGCCTTGAATTTAAAGTGATTGTTTTTAAATATATTGTATATATACGGAATAATACACGTTCCCACTTTTTCCTAACCCGAAATATTTCTAATATCCACAGCTAATTGGATGTGGGCTATTAGGAATTGACGGTTCGGGTATCAGTTTCTAAATAAATTTGATGTCCATACTTTGCATCTTTACATTTTAAGTAAGCAGATCCGGCTTGCTAAATTACTGGCAAGTGTATGACTTTGTGTCAAAACTATTACGTCTATGTCTAATTCAAGGACAATATCGCTGTTCCTTTATTGTGCACTGGAGTAAATATATCTTTCCAAACTTATATCCAAGACAAACTGAAAACAATGTAAACCTAAACCGGATCTATCGGTGTTTCGTGCTGATGTGATGAACACAGAAAACACTGTATCGCTTTTTCTTTACTTTCGTTTAGTTATATTGATCGGTTCGTCATGCGTATTTTATTTCTGTATATAAAACAGTAAATGCATGAGATATTCATCGTAATTTATTATTCTATCTTCTAGCTGCTTGTTTGAAAGGCAATATTACTTGTCTGACTTGACAAAATGAGCTAACTTTTGTTTTCAACGCAGGAGATATTTTTTATAAATTCAATTGATTTCTTAATAAGGACTCGTTCTACAACAAGTATATATTTAACAAACTCGTACCAAACTTGTTTCAATTATTAGATCTAGCTCTAATCAATGTAGGCGTTCAAGTTTTTGATACAAATAAGCAAGCCAAAATCGCGTGCCAAAATCGGCTAAATTTAACGACAAAATTCTTCCGCGTACCGACCAAACTTAAAAACAATGCTTTGTTACTTTCGAAGCAAAAATACACAATATTAAACTTTTCAAATATTCACAGACAGATTCACTATTCGGGAAAATATCAGTCCGATAAATAGACTCGAATAATTTTCTTGTTCTATATCATCTGTCACTCCTGCTGCTGCATTACCGCTGATACGGATTTTACATTGGGTTTATATGTAATAACTTTCAAAGAAATTAAAAAACTACTGGTTCCATCCTTCAGGCTACTCCTGTTACGAGATTTAATAAGGTGCATAACTGATAACAGAGATTCATAAGCATACATGGAGAGTAATGCAGTTTTGAAGTTTTTTAGACAAAAAATTTTGGGAATGTCATTCCAATCGCACAATAGTTCGTTTTCTGCACTTCTCTCTTGTATTCCCTTCCCTAATCGCTTAGATTTCTTTCGAAATCAATTTATAACAGTGGGCTAAGTCAGCAAGTAAGTTAACTATGACCAACATGAGCTGTATAACTTCATAAATAGAGCAGAAATGATGAAAAAGGGTGGCCTAGACGAACTATATTACGTAAGATGTAGAAATGATGTAGCTAAATGAAGAGGCGCAGTTCCTACCACCTCATGGCGGCTCCTGCCACGAACGAACCGCGCCGTCTCCTGCCAAGGGTTTAGGGCGATAGCACAGGTATATTCCCAAAGTCATATACCAGATTTTAATTTATTTTGCGGAATTATATCTGCTGCAACCTAACCCAAAATTCATCAAAACTGTATCCATATTGAAAATGTCCCCACTTACCCAAAGTTTGTCACCACCAGGGGCAGTTCTGCTATTACAGTCTACATCAGTGGTTCTCAAACTTTTTTAGTCCCAGAGCCGCATTTCAAACCTCAAAGGTATGAAGAGCCGCACACAAACAACGCAAGTTAAAATAGCAACAAACCTTAAGCGCGTAATTAAAATACCAAGTCATTGTAACAACAACACGTAACAACTAGGGCTGGGCCAAATATTCGAATAATAAAATATTCGAATGGCATTTTGCTATTTGAATATCTGGTATTACGTGACCTGCGCCGCTCTGCTTGGACACCGAACTCGAGCGTCTCCAACTCAATCGTGAATTGTGCGAGATTTCCCAATGGCGCTCGCTATGAGAAAAATAAGAAAAATTTGAAAAGTTGTCTTTGCGTTATGGTGTTATATGCTTATTTTTGCACTTATGGTATCCTTTCAATTCATTTGCAAAAAAACGTACCGACCGTTCCGTAAATTTAGAAACGTCAAACCAGATTAGGTATATAAATAAATTTCCCAGATTTAAACTCGGCATGCTTGGTGACATGTCATTAGCCATTTCTTGCATTACCGAACATAAAGTTGCTTAAAATTAAATGTTAAAATGACATTTCGGCGTTTCATTGTGAAAAAGGCGATTTTAGGTCGTTAAAACACTCTAGTTATGTAAATACCATGGATTTAAAAAATGACCAAAAGTTTTTCCAAAAGCTGGTATGAGTTACTTGTATGGGAAAAATTCATTAAGTTGTAACCAGATAAGAAATGTCATGTCCTACTCCCTTTAAAGCACTTTGTATTAGCTCTTTAGTGATCCCTTCCATCCTTTGCCAAGTAATTTTTTGAATATGTAAACATTTTACTCGACCATGCATGGCCGTCGAGCCAAGTTGAGCCCAGAGTAGAACGTAAAATCAATCGTGAATTTCGTTGTAACAATGCACACTGACTCGTTCACAAATTGTTGCGTCTAATATCATCGAAAATGATTACAATTGTTAAATTTTGAAGCATTTGGGCAGTAATAATTAAGCCATAAGGCATGATATAATCAAAATCATCAAGTGAAGTGCTGAATTTGCAAATTCCGTAAAGAAAATTGAGCATTACTGAGTAAGTATTTTAGCTATAATAACCATCGGGGTGTTGTTTTGTTGAAAAAAAAACGTTAAAACTTGAAGTAATCAGGTACAATTAGAGTCTGACACTCTATAAGGCAAAAAGGCCTAAAAATGTCTTTATTGACAATTTATTTAATCGCTATTTTAAATCAACTTTCAGGATTCACGCATTCGTAAATTTGCTAGGTTTATCTATCTAATACTAAAATAACACCATAGAAAAGCATGAGAAACTCAATTATCATTATAATAAATATCTGCATCTCGGTTACCGTTCACTTAAAACAGGCGCGGTTAATTTACAAGCGGTGATAAGGAAGATCAAATCCAAGGCAGAGGATGAAACTCAGAATAGAATTAATTTGGTTTTGAAATCAGTCCTTAAATGTATTCAACAGCTGTCGCTGATGAGAACGCAAGGGTATACTAGAAATATGGAATTTCGATATTCGGCGACCGCTTATTCTTGCAAAAGCGAGAAAGGGCGGAAATATAGAATACCAACTATAGGATATCGCCGCCAACACGATCGCGGTGACAATGACAATCAGCCATTATGATAAAATTAACCATTAAAAAACGCTTTATTGCCGACTTTTCAATGTTTCTATTAATTTCCAAATGGACTATCGGCCTCCGACGTTCTGGATCCCTGTTATGTATAAAAAAATATTCAAATTATTCGATTCGAAAAATATTTCGATTTTTTTATTTGATTTAATTAAGCTTTGATTTCTAATAAGTTTGTCAAAACGGGTCGTGATCGTGGAGGATGCAAGGTGCAGTAGCTGCTTGAGATGATCGCCATATTTTTCGGGACTATTTTCGATTTCTGGAACAAAATTAAAATGCTCTAGAAATTAAAATAATCATTGAGTTATTTGATTTATACATAAGATCTGGAAATGCGACACAAACTGAAAATCCACGAAAGCAAGCCAATGATTACAGCCATGTCTAAAATCTTTCCAAGCGCAAAGTGTCCGAGTGTCCGCGAAAACGCTCACTGTTGCGTCACTATTGTATCTTGTAGGTTAGTCAACGCTACGCAAATAAACACAGGGGAATCCATTCGACTAACTAATAGACTTCAGCATTTTAATTTCGAGTCAATAATTAGTTTTCAATGAAAAATTTCCTTTAAAAATAATTAATTTTTAAAACATTAACGGGAGCCGCAGGGAAGGTTGCATGCGGCTCTCAAACCCTAGTTTGAGAATCATTGGTCTACATGCTTTGGTTTGTGGCAGCAAATTTTTACCCGCCATTGGTTTTCAATTTACCGCCGTGGTAACCCGCTTCACGCCATTGGTTTGTGGCAGCTAAAAAGTCAGCCGCCATGATTTGACCACAGCGGCCATGGTTTGGAAATCCGGCCATGAATTTGCGGAAACTTCAGACGCCCCATAATAACTAAAACTACACTTGCAAATAAATGCTGCGCTCTTCTAGGCAAAATGCCGCGAAAGTTGACTAATTTGTTACGTCATAATATATTTCTTTGTAGCCATATGTCATGAAAGGACAAAAAGTCCATATATAATCGTACTCAAGGAAATTAGTAAAAAAAAAGAAAGAAAATCTTTGACTAATTGCATCCTAATTGTGTACAAATAAGAAAATTGAATAGTTTGCCTGTGTATATACAGATTGGGTATACAATTCATACGAACATAAAGATATGCAGCGGCAGTGAGAGTAATAGTTCAGATGCGCATTTCGAATAGTCTTTACAAAATTTTAGAAAAACCGCATGATTTTATTAATGCTGTTATTACTTTCAGTGACACAAATCCCTGACATAATACAAACAAATATCAATAGAAAAGGCATTCGGCAGAAAATGAAATCCTCTGAATCAATAGTCTTGAATAGAAGTAAAGCGCTAACGTAATCTTTCGAGCATTATCTCTCTTCAGTTTAATACTGTTTAGATTTTGACATCTATCCTAATATGAATATAATAAAGATAAGAATGCTCCCGATACACACTGGGAGTCGAGTATATTAAACTAGGATTTCAACGCGCGGGATTTTTGTTTTCAATTTTTATTCTAATACGGAAGTTTAACATAGTGTTAGCTCTCCTAGACTTGATAATCACATTTTCCCGGTGAAGAAACAGGCGATGTGACACTGGAATTCCCTATTTTATTTTTATTCAAAAAGACGGAAATCTTCGCAGCGCCAATATGTAATTTTTGTTAGGTATGATTTTAATCTATTAAACGTATCTCATTTACAAATCCTGCTCTTATGCTCACTTTATGCTGACATAAAAGAAACTTCTTTTAAAAAGGTAAGTAATATGAATCACACAATAATATCCGGTGTAATATATTTAAATGCACACAAAACACGTTACTCTTCTTGAGATGTTCATTTGATCGAATCTAGATCTCTAAATTAAAAATACAAAAAAATGAATGAATTGCTTAAAAAAATATGAGTTGAGTGGTATGTTTATTATTTGACTATACCAACACTCGATGAATCTTTTTTGTTGGCAAAGATCTGTTTAAAGATCCAATCAAAATTTCATTGCGAAATCCGGTACAATATCATGCGTAAACCATGATACAATTGATGAAAGTTTACAGCACATAATGGGAATGATGGAAACTTAAAATCTTATTTTGTTTGTTACCTTCTTGTAAAAATATTGTGAAAAAATTTCAAATAATAAATCATGGACGTCTTTTCAACTTGATAAAATCGAAATATTCTGACCTTCAAACAGATTATCCAAGTTCTCCACATCCATATATTCATGAGGCACTATGAAGAAGAGGGGAAATTTATATCGTTGAGATTTTATTAGTAAAGAACAATGCATACAATTCATGAAAATACTGCAAGTGACACAACTTACCTTCTTTTTATCCATTTTTATTAAATGCCATAACTGCTAAGTTCCAGAAGATCAGAATATATGCAATTAAGCAAGGTAGAAATTTTACATTCATTTTAATTTCTGGTATATAATGTGATACCTCAGATAAACTAATCTATTAATCTGTGTTAGGTGAAAATCTTTTATCAAACAAAATCAATTAAGCTTTAACCTAGTTTTTCTTTTTGATAAAATACCACTCACGCGATCCACAATGTTAGCTGTTTATCGTTTACTCATAAATTGAACAGATACTATGGGCGTATGTCAGAATATCCCAAGAAAGTTAAATGCTCTTGAATAGGAATTGGAAGCGAAACGTTGGTATCGTTTTCATAAATCATATTATGCGTTGACGTTTTCTCTGCGCAAATAAACTGTCATCGGAAACAGGCAGACAAGACAGGAAATCGTTTAATTCAAGCACTCAATCATTTCTTCATTTTCACCAGTAACTTTAATTGAATGCCTTCAGCATTTCACTTTCTTTCTTACAGAACATAAAAAAGAAAACAGAAAAAAAGATAGTTTAATAGGTAAGCGATAAAAGCTCCCGTCTAGTCAGCTTCATATCACGGGTTATTTTGATTCTGTACACGTTGATAGTGCAGTCGGTAAAACGCAAAAGTTTTTTTATAAATGTTTTCAACATCAAATTTAAAAGCATAATACATATTTGCATGAGCCGTTTCATTGCCAAATCATTGCGAATCACAATCTGTCGACATGATGATTAAACAATACGCGCAGAGATCAAATCAACACATAATATGTATATGTACTGTAGCATATAGTGAGCTACTCACAGCGGTATTTTCAGCGGTATTCAATAAAAAATGGTATGACATTATTTCACGCAAGAAATATAGTTCGTTTAATTAACATATAGTCGAGTTGCTGTCCAATCGCGTTGCCCAATTCCAAGCGACTACTATTTTTAGCCTAGTTGCGGAAATGAGGGTCATCGTTGGATATGGTCGACACCCCAAAGAATATATATAGAGTCAGTGGCTATTTAATCATTGTCCTTCATTAAAAACATTCACTGCTACCGCGCTAAATGCTTTGCTTGTAAGATAAATTAAATAACAGTTACAATTCATACCCTGAAAGAGCCAATAACAGTAGTTTAGCATGTTTTAGGGCGCGTCTGAGGCATGGCCCTCTTTACAGCATGATATCGTCACGCTAATAATCGAACTGCGTAAATCACTTTTAGCAGTTATGAGAAAAACGTGAAAAACTTCCTAATGATATTGTTATGCCATTGAGAGTCAATACTCAATAATTTCCCATGGTTCAATTTTTTAGTTTTAGCCGGATTTAAATTAATTTATATGACGCATTTATGGCGCACTGTGACTTACGCAGAAATGTGCCTATGACTTGGGGACATACGCAATTTTACAACTTGACTATATCCACCAGTTATAGTTTGTACATGTGAATACAATGGTTATCGTTTTCTTGTAGTGATAGTTGATGAAAAGTAACGAACCTCTTTCAAGGCTCTTTTTATTAATTTAATTGAAGGTAAATTGGTCGGTAAAAATTAAAATCTCTTTTGTGATTATATATATTCATAACTTTGCATGAAACAAAATTCTAGCTAAAATGTTATGAAGTTTGTAATTTAAATAAAGTGATAATCGAAGATCAGGTATTTCTAGTAGCTGTGGGCCTGTGGATGATAATGTATAGCAGAAGGCAAATAACAGTACATCACTCAGAAAAAAGTTTTGGACGTTGTTTATAACCCAGTAATGCGATAAATGAAGAAGTAACACTATTTCACATGACGTATAATATACGTTATTCTCGTTTTTCGTCATAACGAGTGCCCCGAAAAGTAGAAACGGAATAAATAATGTTATCAGAGTAATAGTGGAACCATAGTAATAGTAGAGCTTTGCATTTAGAATATGAATTTAAATCTACTCACTCGCGAAGACTAATACCACACTATGTAAAGTAGTATTTACTTCTCTCAAAACAAGGCTCTTCCAACTTTTCAACAACAGTTTCAACTGTGCAGCGTTCCGATTTTCAGGTAATGTATTTATCCGAGTGGGATGCGTTCGAAATAGATCACGATGTACTAGAACTAGACACTAGGCAGGCATGGGCAAATTGCGGCCCGCGGATCACATCCGGCCCGCTGCAACTTTTCATCCGGCCCGCGAGCAGGCTTCTAGATTTAGACACTTTCTTTTTATTTACATATAAAATATACTTTGACTGTGAACAAACGGATTTTTACGATAATGAAAAAGTCGGTAAAAACGTTCGACTAATTTTTTTTTAATTGCCGATTGGGTACTCCTGAAGTATGCGCACCAAGATGTCGCATAACCTGAATCCTGACCTGGTACACAACCTGATTTTAGGTTGGCGCCGTCTTGGTGCGCATACAGGAGGTCCGCCGATTGGAGTAAAGGAGTGATTCGGCAAGCAACTCAAATCTAGATTTTAGAGCGCCAAAATAAAAAAATAAATTAGAAACTTGAACAAAAACAAGTTGTGATTTAGAAGGCTCCTGACAGGTTGGAAACGCTGTTGTAGAAATTGGAAACTGAAAATTTTCTGGTGCTCACGACACACATTTTAATTGAGTGGCTTTCGTGCGCGCGATGTACCTTTTAAACACTTCTAAAACTAATAACGGCGCCTGCTATATAAGATAATTAATGTAAAGTAAATTCAATCGATGTTCATGGTACTAAAATGAATTTTACTATGTGTGGTTTTATCGCAGACGTGGGGATTTTTAAAATGGTAAAATCATTAAAACAGAGTTAAGTCAGTGTTGCAAGAACAGATCAGATTTGTCGAATTCACAAAATCGAATGAAAATAATCTGGCACTTTACCTCACATTTTTATATCCGCGGAATGAGGTGGTATTTCTGAGGGTTAATGCCTATATATTGTCAAGTCAACCGCGGGTTAAGTTGAAAACAATAAAGCAAGACATTTTAAATGTACCCGTATTAATACATTTCAAATATACCCGTATCGAAAATATGTATCAAAACTAAGTATATTCTGGCAGTTTATCTGGCATTTTTATATCCTCAGAAAGTCGTGGTATTTTAGAGCAGTGCATCCCGAACTTTTCAGCTCGCAACGCCTTCCAATGCATTAAAATTTTCCGCGATCCCTGTTCACGTTAAAAATGCTATGACGACAGCAAAGTTATATGAATCACGATGTTTTGTCACCGAAGACATGGTCCTAATTCCGCATAGTTACTCACTCTTCAGTCTTCAGCATTAATGATAAAATTCGGCATTGTTATGCAAGTGTGTCTCTGAAATTTATCTTTTAAACTAGTTTTAATGATTGTGCTTTGAATAAAAATTCTAACAAAAGTACAATAGATATAGTACTTGTTTTATTTAAATGTTTAAAAAAATAAAATGAAAAAGCACGATTGACTTTACTTAGTCCGGCCCGCCACTTCCTTTTTGAATATATATTCAATACCAAAAATAATTGCCCAGCCCTGCACTAGATAATGCACCCTGCGTAATAAATCTTTGTTTACAAGATGCTGGTCAAACGGTGTTGAATCTCTTTGAGGCGTGGAAATCTTTTGTAGGCAAAATCGATGTCTATAGTCGAGATGCTGAAGTTCCACCTTCATTTATTTCAAAAATCTTCAAAAATTTTTTGATAGCGAAGTTACAATCTTCTGCAATTGGTGGCTATATGCGTGAACTGACGACACAATTTTGCAATAAATTTTAAGTCTTTCGACGTTTTGGAGGATTGTTCCGTTTCTAATCATACTAGATAGCCACGACAATTTAGGTTTAGTTTTAATTGATTGGATGAATGCTAGCGGCTTTCATATGCAGCTGATTTGTGTATATATAATAAAAATAATCTTGCAAATGACAAAATACAATGCGGATAAGCTATGGGGCCAAATTCCCTTTTTTATGTTCTTTTCTTTTTTTTTATTACCGACTTCCGTTGCTTCGTGACTCCAACTTAGTGTTAAACGAATCTCACAATTTAAATTCAATTCCAATCTTGTTGACGAAAGGTTGCATTACAAGAAAAAATTGTATGACATAGATTACATTTTAAAAATCTTTTTATATTGTTAATATGTCGAAGTTTCGTCTGTCATCCTCCAATAATCATGGTTGTACCTCCTGATAAAAATCGCCTTTGCAACTAATTGTTGATCGGTCGAGCAAGAGGCGTTTCGATAGTACTATTATTTTTAAAATGGAAAATATATGAAATTTGAGCAAAGTTCAAAAACTGGTAATTAGAATTTTTTATATCCAACTTTCCTAAAGTGACAGGGAGTGATAATGCGCAGGTGAAAGATAAATTTCGGGTATTTTAAATTTTTCCGTTAGTTGTCAGAGTTGAGTAAAAATAATACCAGTCGATTCAGAAAGCGACAGATGGGAATGGACGAAGTGGGGGTAATATTGCGCAACACGCCTGGGTGACAAAAGTCTACTATTGATATCAATTTTAAACAAGTTCCACTTGTTTTCTCTTGTAAGTATAGTTCTGAATATCATGTTTTTGGGCAATTCGATTTTTATAGCATAATATATAAATTTAGCGCTTCCATGTATTTACTACTGCAAATAATCGGACCGAACATGGTGGCATAGAATTTGATGGATAGATTCGTATTTGATCTACCGAATGATTTGGCGGTAAACACTTGATGAAAATGTGATATGTTTTTTTTTATTTCATCAGCATAGTAAAATAGAATATTTATTTCTCCTTAGTGACGTGTCGACGGTTAAGCTTACTTCGTTCTAACTCCTTTCCCTGTGAGTATCAATCATATCACATTACATGTATTATGTAATGATTTTCGATTGCTTTTATGAAATAATATTTTTCCAGCTTATTGTTGAGTATGTTCTGTAAATAGCAATAAGTATCACATTCATCTTTGACCAACCTAGATCCTACTACCATAGAACTAATTTTCCGTTATCGTAGAACAAGATTAGGTATTAGTTAATGATTTTCTTGTCCTATAAATAACATACTCGGAAAAAATAGAAGTGTCATAAAAAAAGATTTTTTTATTACTTGGATTTGGCGCTCTCTTTCTGTTTTTGTTAGTTAGTTAAAAGTTAGTTGACGACAAAAAATCACGCAATAATTGTTCGCTCCGCTTGAAAAGGTGTAACAATTTCATCGAGATATGGACGGCAAGTAATGGGCGTCTTGGATACAAGCA